ACGTATGCACCGACTGTAGCGGTTTCTAGCGTTCGCTTGTTGGCAGCGATGGCGTGTGAGCAAAATCTTTCTCTCCGTCATTTTGACATCAAGCAGGCATTTGTCCAGTCGGATTTGGATGAGGATGTTTTTATGCGTCTGCCAGAGGGGTGTGGTAGATTATCAGGTATGATCGTGAAGTTGAACAAGAGTCTATATGGCCTTAAGCAGGCATCAAGGCAGTGGCACTCACACTTGGCGAGGTGTTTGATTTGTTTGGGTTTTATTCAGTGCATGGCGGATACGTGTGTGTTTCGGTTGATTGAGGAGGGAAGAGTGGTAGTGACTCTGGTGGTACATGTAGATGATATATTTTCGATAGGAGAGGAGAAGAGGTGTGACCAGTTTGGCAGGGACCTCAACACCATGAAACCTATGAAGAATGTTGGGGACTTGAGATGGTACTCTGGATGTTTTTATGAGAGAGATTGGGATGCAGGAACTTTGAAGATCTCGCAGCANGTACGGACTAGTGACTTGGGTATTACATTCAGGAGGGGTAGTGTAGCAGGGTTGAGCATGGAGGTGTTTGCAGACGCAGACTATGCAAGCAAGGCTGCCGATAGGAGGTCTGTGTCAGGGTGATTGGTGATGTGTGGGGGGGGATGTATTTCTTGGTTTTCAAGGACCCAGAAGTGCGTCACGTTGAGCACGACAGAGGGGGAGTATGTCTCTCTTGCGGATGTTTCTGAGGCAGGTGTGGCGTTTCATGTTGCCAGAAGCAGGCATGCCATGTATTCCGGTGTTCGAGGAGAACCAGGGGGCTATTCAGTTGGCGCAAAACCCGGTAAGGAACAGTACCTCGAAGCACATCGACGTAAGGCACCACTTTATCAGGGAACTGGTAGGCAGGAAGGAGATTTCGATTTTTCACGTGGAATCGGCGTATCAACATGCTGACTTTCTCACGAAAGCACTTCACGCGGGAGATTTTGAGTTTCATCGTAACTACGTGATGAGTATGGATTAATATATGTATTGGTGTTTGGATTTATTTTGTGTGTGATCAAACAACTGGGGTGGCAACATTTTGCATTTTTGCCTATGGTTTTTCTCAATGGATGATGTTCTAGGCTGGGGGGCAACTAGTTCACTGAAGTTCGAAGAAGTAAAACTGGTATGATCGGGGATGGTTTTTGATGTCTAGCCAGTGAGGCTATTGTTCTGGAGTTGAATTGAGTTTCTGATTTTATATAGATTTTCTTGTGTTGTTTTGGAGTTATTTAGGATCGAAAAAGACATGGCATGGTCACAAGCAGGGGGGCTGATAGATATACTTGTAGCAATGCCAAGTGGTTGTAGGATTGTGTGGTACGTGGAATGTATTT